TAATCAATTAAGGTAATTAATTAATTAATTAATTTATTATTATTATTATTAATTAGTTGCGTGTTCCTCCCTAACAACGGTGCCTACTTCGTAGCCTATATTATTATAGCGACGTTCGTTTGGTCGCCATTGGAGTTGCTACGGTTACGGCAGCTAGCTATATATATCTATAGACGAATCAGAGCAAAGACTAAACTGGAGAAGCGACAGATTATCAGAGAAGTAAGAAAAGAGATTCAAAAAAATGAATACTATGCTGCCCATTAATACTTTTAGAGAAGTATTTTGGGATGTGTGTTGATGTCTTTATGTATCTAAAAACTTTGAGCTGATATGAACATTATATTTTAATTGAATCGGTTTTTGAAAAAAAAAACAAAATACTGTGGTGTTTTTCAAAAAATGGCTCTAGCACCACCCCAATTTTTTATTACATTTTTTGATACATATTGATGTCCTTATGCTGTGTAGAAAGTTTGAGCTGATTCCGACTTCAATTTTTCAAGCTACGGCCATTTAAAGAAAATGTCAAAATTATGAAAAATACTCAAGGCTGTAGCCCATGGTTTTTTTTTCAAAAAATGGCTCCGAAATCACCCCCAAATTTTTATTACATTTTCTGATACATATTGATGTACTTATGCTGTGTAGCAAGTTTGAGCTGATTCTGATATATAATTTTTGAATTATGGCCATTTTAATAATAATTCTTATCACTGTTAATAATTATTTATTTTATTATTTAATATTAAATTCTCTAGTATGATTTTAAGTTTGGCACTAAATATGCCTCTAACCTCATCATATTCACAATGACGTCTGCATTAAGTCTGACCACACCTCTCGTCGTACCATTTGGAGCTTTGTTTTTTGGCATCAAGTACCTGATTGACAAGTATAACCTGTTATACGGGTATAAACCAGTTTATGTGAGTGGACGACAGTACCTTCACAAGTCGGCCATGAAACTGGTGATGGTGGGCGTGGTCTTTGTTCAATTTGTGACTCTCTTTTATTCAGTTGTGAGAGAAGGTGAGAATTAACAATTTAACATTCATCATGTCACATGTTTATCACATGTACATCACATGTTAAGTCCATGTAATGTGTAATTATTATTATTTATTTTCACAGGTTCCGTATCTGCTAGATCAATAGTTCTTTTAGTGCTACTGATAGTCACTGGTTTACTGTTATTCGGACTGTTGGTCCTTGGATGGTTCTCTTATCTTTTACCAAAAATAAGAATTAAAATGGGACAGGTTAGTGCAGCGTTACGTATCTCTCTTACTGTACTGTGGTGGGCATTAATTAGGAATACTCTATATTTGGTTTGAACGAAGAGGAGGAAGACAGAATAGTAGAGGTAAAATTAATATTATTATAAATTAATATTTTGCTGTTATTGTGTAATTTCATGTAATGTGCATACATATACATTACATGAATACCGGTATATGCAGTTTTACCTTATTTGGGCCTCAATGTACATGTGTGTATGTTGCAATGCTCAGCTATCCCAGTTTATTCAATTCATCTGAGCCATTAACTAATTTGTACATATGTGAAATTGCACACCTGTTGTGTGTAATAATAACTTCCTTTAAAAATGCACACACTTCCATGTATTCTGATATTTTATCATACTATTGCCCATATTTAACCATAAAGCAGCTGCTACCACAAAGACTGCTAAATTTAGATGTTTATTCTCCTCTCTTTCTCCCTTTCCCCCTCCCCTAGCCTGGTGAGTATGTCGCTCCTGTGTTAATGGCTACTGGTGATGAGATACCTGGAGATACTGTAGAGCAGCATTTGGATAGAGAAGGGGAAGGAAAAGGAGGTGTGGCTCAAAGTTACGAGTCATTTGGTAGAACTATTGCTGGAGGTAAGGGAACATTATTAATACACACATACTGTGCATGTACTTATGTTGTGTAGAAATGTCTGATGAAAGTTGACATAAGTTGCTCAAAAATTGGGTATCTGGGCCAAATTTTGCCAAAAATGAAAAGTAGAGAATTCTCAAATTTTATTAAATTTTCTGATACATAATACATGTTCTTATGTTGTGTAAGAAGTTTGAATTGATTCCAATCAAAATTGGATTTTTATCAATTTTTAAGTTATTAAAAAATTGGGCCAAAGTCCTTGTACTATAGTACACGGTCTCGAGCCAAATTTGAAAAAGGAGAGAATTTTTTTAGTTTTAAATTAATTATTTCTGATACATTTGCATGTACTTTTGATGAGTCTGATCAAAATTGGATTTATATTAATGATTCTTTTCCTGTTATTATCAGGTCAGATAAAGTTGAGTCCAAGTAGAAGGAGTGATGCTAAAGGGACTAGGGAGAAGGAGCGACCACCATCACTTGTTGTTGAAGAAGAGGGTGATGACATTGAAAATGAAATCAAAGACAATTAAACAATTACATATAAGAACTCACTGCCAATTGTTATCATTATTATTGCATATTAAACTGAATTGTTAACTAAGTTTTGTTAATGTGATTGTAGCCATTTTACTTTATTATTGTGCATTATACATGATCTTGTATTACTACTTCATGTGTAACTATTTTGACTTTTGTTATTATTAAAATTTGTAGGTCTTATTCTCTTTAACTAAATTTTTGAGTAGATATTAATTATTTAAAGAAAAAAAGGAAAGCAATACAGTATATAGTTCAGCACAATTACTAGTATATTTTCATCTAAAATAGCAAAAAATGTCAAAAAATTAATGATACATGTAAATAGCATGTTTGTAATAGTTAATCAGAAGAGTATCCACGAAATTTATAGCCCTCG